GAGCCCACATGGACCTCGCTGCCCATCTCCATCCAGCCTCCAGGTGACCAGGCAGGCTGTCCAGCAGCAACGAGGCTCAGGAAGAGACCTTTTCTGAGCAGCAGCCCAGCAGTCAGGGCCCCTAGGGTACAGCTGTGCACCATCCGGGCTCTGTGGTCCATTCAGAACTCGGGCAGAGCAGGCACGACAAGTCCCCAAGGCCAGGATCGTCACAGTGGTGGACCAGCACTGGCTTCAACCTGAAGTCACCACTGTGCAGGCACCTGACAGGAGAGACACCCGCCTGGCTTTGTGGCCTGGCACTGACTTCTCTCTGCTGTGAACGCCAGGGACACGCTGGGCACATGCCCTGCCACTGAGCCTCAGCTGGCCCAGGACCCTGCCCTGGACGAGGCTCCAGCTTGAGGATGGGCTGTGGCTGGCTTCCCTCCTGTCCAGGCCCGTGAGACTCGGCACCAGCAGCTGCTGCGCTCTCTTATCACTCGCTCCTTCACGGGGCAGCGCGTGCCATGTCCTTCCCCTGGACTTCTTCCACACTCACAGCGTGGCTATCGGCCTGGAGGCCTGGCTGCTGGCCGCCTCCACAGTGCCATCATTCTAGCTTCTGATTCAAAGTGAGAGGCGTGCAGCTCTTCCTTTCCCTGGGACACTCTGAGGCCACTGTTGGGCTGCTACTGGCCTAACTTCAACACAGTTGTGTCTCAGGGCACAGGGAGGCCAAGGTGGACAGCGACGGGGAGATGGCCAGTGGAGCAGTCAGAACACAGGACGGAGTTCACAGTCTTATCTGGGTGCAGTTCATGGTGCCCCCAAACAATTCCACTTGTGGCAAAGACCGCTGCTCACAGGTCACCACCACAGACATAAGAACAGAGTTGGAAATGTCATCAGACTGCTGAGATGCGGCCGCAGGGGATGCACACCTGTGATTCCAACCACTCAGAAGGGTGAGACAGGAGGTTGGAAAGTTCAAGGCCAGCCTCAGCAATGTAGGGAGGCCCTAAGCAACTTATTAAAACCCTCTCTCAAAATAAAAAGGCCTGGGGAGGGCCTGGGGGTGTGGCTCAGCAGTAGAGCCCTTGCCTGGCGTTTGAGAGGCACCAGGTTCCATCCTCAGCACCATATAGTACAATCAAGTCATTATGTCCACCTAGAACTAAAAATATTTTAAAAAGAAGTAACCTTCAACTGGGTGTAGCGGTGCAGGTCTGCAACCCTAGCTACTTGGAGGCAGAGGCAGGAGGATTACAAGTTTGAGGCCAGACTGGGCAACACAGGAAGCCCCTATCTCAAAACACAGTAAAAATGGCCAGGAGTGTGGCTCTGTGGTAGAGCTTGCCTGGCATGTCTAGACCCTAGGTTGGACCACAAAACAAACAACAAACAAAAAACCAACCTTCAGAGGCTTCTGGAATCGGAGATCGTGTGGTCAGTGCATCTTCCCACTGGACTGTGTGTCCACAGCCTCGGCAGATGGCCATCCAGCACCAGAAGCCTTGAGGCTAGTGGGGCCACCAAGTGCCCGACTGAACAGTCTGCTGGCCGTCCTGGGAGGTAGGCTGGCGGCAGGAGAAGCTGAAAGAGCATCCCTTCCTCTCACGCTGTTTATTTCTTTTTAAAGGACGAGACAGTTCACGTGCAGAGCTCACTGTGGCCTGCACGCTGGCACTGCGTGGCCAAGCAGCACAGTTGAGCAAGGGTAGACTGCAGGTCAGACTGGGCGGCCCTGCAGCTGGGCTGTGCTGCTCTGACAACGCTGCCTTACAAGCCCGATGGCAGACAGCTCGTGGAAATGCCTGCAACGAACTCAGCACTGAGCTGAAACCAGAACAGAACAGAACAGAACAGAAAGCAAATAAAAGGATGATTGAGTCCTCTCTGAAAACTTCTCAACAGCCTGAGGCAAACCAGAGACCTTGCAAGGGCTGGGGTTTGGCTTGCGGAGAGCACTTTCTTAGCATGGGTGAGGCACCACATATAAATAAGTGAATAAAATAAAGGTCCATCCACAACTAAAAAAAAAAAAAGATCTGGCAAGACAGCATCTGAGACTGGGCGGGCACTGGCCTCTCAACACCCTCCTGGCCCTCATGGCCCACAAGGAGCACCCTGGCCAGCAGCCTGCCTGGGGAGCTGTCACCTCACTGCAGCAGCCCTCCGGGGCAGGGCTCCAACACGATCTTGGAGAGAATAGAGTGCCAACCCTCAGCCACTGGAACATGAGTAAGTAAGTGCAGAGGGCCAAGGAAAGACACGGCCTGCGTCCCCGCCAGTCCTCTTCAGTCTCAGACATTCCAGGTCTAAAATACCAATATCAAATACACAAAGATATGAACACTCAGCATAAACAACCTAAAAAAAACCCCCAAAGACAAATGCTATTTATTTGTTTATCAAGACTACAAATAGCATTTAAACACTTAATTTATTATTCAAATTAAGAAATTATACATTTTGTTTGATAACGGTCATTGTCTTAAAAGTGTCGTTCTGTTTTCCCATTTAGAAGCGTATTGCTGATTCTGGTCTATTGACTTCAATGGCCGACAGGCCTCCAGCGGAGGGGACGCGGGAGCACAGGGACTGGGTCTGCAGCACTCCCCAGCACCAGCTCGGCTGCTGGAGCAGCGAGCATCCGGTGCTGCTGAGGAGACAGAGGTCCTGATAAAGTGCCTTTGTGAGACTCCCCCTCCCCACACGTGCCAGGAACGCCCGTCTCCATGTCAGAGCAGCAGCCGGAAGCACGGGAGTGAGGTACCCCAAGATGCCCTGGGTGATGGGCACTGCAGCCGGACTGAGGAGGGCGCGTGGTCACGGAGAGACGCAGCCCGCCACTTTGGTTCAAATGACTTTAATAGAAGCTGCAGGGCCTCCACGCCCCCAGCCACCACTCACTGCAGGCCACACGCGTGCGGTGGTGTGTGGACCCTCCTTGGCCTCCCCCGGAAGCTCTCCAGGCACCACGTGGAGACAGACGAGAATGCATGACCACCTCACACCCCACAGCAATACCCAAGCCATCATGATGCAGGTCGACGCTACACTGAGAACAAGCATGCCGGTCCCACCTGGGAGAAACGGCGAGAGAAGCACAAGTACACTACCACCACCTACTGTCCGACCTAACCACGGGAGGCAGCAGGAAGTGCCTTTAGTTTTAACAATTAGGCTGTAAACAATCAACCACAGGAGAAGCAGTGGCCCCAGAGGGCGGCGCCTTGGCCCCTCAGTCGGTCACAGACCGTGGGGTGCCCCACAGGAGGTGGCAGCCGCGGCTCAGAAGGAGTCTAACAAGGTCAGCAAAGCCAAAGCTTCATCTTTGGTTAATTTCACTGAGTTGCCACTAGTCTAAAAACTGTGCTCTTCTTGGCAAAGTTACTACATCAGCCACCTGGCACGAAACAACTGTTAAGCAATGTCCATCTAAATAAGTGACCATGTTGTAATAAAAATCATCTAAAAAATGAGGGAGGGAGGAATGCCAGGAGGAGGGAGGAGCCTGGAGAGCCGGGGTCCAGCCGGAGCACTCTCTGGGCCTGGGGAGGTGCTGGCTGCTCTGGGAGGGTCGGGTCCAGCTCAGCTCAGCTTAGCTCAAAGCCAGCAGCACACTCGATGGCATAGAGCAGCTTGCTTCGCAGAAGTGTCTCATCGTAAAACTCTGGGAGCTTCAGTAGGTTCATGCAGGTGCTGGCTGTGGGGAGCCGCTCGAGGTCAGAGCCTCCGTTGTGAATGCAAAAGGCCGGGTACAGCTCCTGGAAGACAGCAAGGCACAGGACACACCTTACCCACACAGTCCTGCAGAAGCATGCACAAGAGTGCACACAGGGACACCCACTCCACAAGGAAGGGCCGAGGAGGATCTGCTCGGCATCAGCCCAGTGCTGTGCCCTGTGCTCGAGGCGCAGGCGCACGCGGGCTTACTGGAGGCCACCTCTCCAGGGAGCAGGGTTCCCGCAGGCTCTGCTGTTGGACCTTCAGAGATGTGCTCAATGTGTGGAAGGTGCACAGGTCAAGAGCTGACTTAGGGCAGGGTGGGGTGGCCATCAGCTGATGCAAAGATCAAGTGCTGTCTGTGTCACTGAAGGGCCATGCAGACAGCCATGGACAAGCCTGATCCAAGTGAGAGGAGGAAGGGAAGGAACCTGCAGACACTGGGGAAATTTAATAGAACCCTCTACCTAATCCCTGGTCCAAGCAGGGAATAAAGGTCATTACTGGGAAAAGAGACCAAATAGAAAACCAAAGGAACTCGGGCACAGGGTGCACACCTACGATCCCAGTGGCCTGGGAGGCTGAGGCAGCAGGATTACAAGTGCAAAGCCACCCTCAGCAACTTAGCAAGACCCTATCTCTAAATAAAATAATTATGACTCAGTGGTTAAGCATCCCTGGGTTCAATCTCTGGTAACCAAAACAAAACAAAACTTACAAGTCTACATCCATTTTTTTTTTTTTGGTAGTGCAGAAATGAAACTCAGGGGCTCAAACATGCTGAGTAAAACACAGCAGCCCCACACCAACTCGCCAGTCTAAGTCGGAGCCAGATAGTCTGAATTTGAACAAGCTTTCTCTACTCCTGACCAATGGGCAGCAATAATCAGGATGGTCTCAGACCCTGCTCCGCCCCCGATGGTCCCGCCTTGGAATCTTTGAATGTGCAGGGACCACTACTATTTTATGAGCTACACAAAGAAGCCACCAGTACTCTCACTAATGACAAGGGAAACAGAGGGGACCCAGAAGATGAGAGGAGATTAAAGAGACACACTGTGAGGACACGGCCTGCTGGCACTGAGCGCCGAGAGGAGCGTGGGGCATCTTCTGGATACTGACGGTGTTAGGAACCTCTATCTTTTAGATGTGGTAGGGCACTCTACAGTTAGGAGAAAGTGTGCCCCCACTCCCACAAGCCTGTGGTTTCTCACACAGTGGGAAGTCCTGGTGACCCTCCCCAACCAGTTTCTCATTCTTTATTTTTGGTACTGGGGACTGGAGTCAGTCAGTGGCACACGACCACTGAGCCACACCCCCAGCCCTATTTTGTATTTTCTATAGACAGGGTCTCACTGAGTTGCTTAGCACATCGCCACTGCTGAGGCTGGCACTGAACTTGCGATCTCCCTGCCTCTATCTCCCAAGCCTGTAGGATTATAGGTGTGAGCCACCGTGTCCTGCTACTCTCATTCTTTCTTGAGGGTGCATATAAACAGCATTATTTACTAATGGGTATGGGGGCTGTTTCAAAGATTTACAAACAATTATGTGATTAATAATTATGTTCTGAAGTCTACAACTGTCCATATGTAACTGTGGGCTAAATACCCACACATCATGCCTGGCTAAGTGCAGAGCTACTGTGAGAGATCCAAGGAGAAGTGGTCCCTTGGACACTAATAACCAGCGACTATGTCCTGCTCTTGAGCACAGACAGTGTCAGGTCAGCCTGGTGTTCCCACCCAACAGGGGGACGCCCGAGCACGGCCTGCCCTGGCCTGCTGGCTGCGGAGGCTGGCGGTCCATCTGGTTCGGGCCCTCACTGCAGCATGCAGATCAGGTCTGGGAAGCCAAGAGTTACCCGCCCGAGTGGCGCCCCAATGCTCTGGTGGGAGGGGAGAGGGCAGACTTCACTTAGCAGCCCAGGACAGGAGGTCAGGACTGAACCCCAGAACCATGACCTGAGGGCATGTGCGTGCCACACACACCTCCTCTTGGGAGCTGTACCCCAGCCCCAGGTAACACAGGGTGGAAAAGCCTGCCCACAAGCCGGTCATGGGATACACACAGGATGTACACATGGCACTCATGACATGAGAGACACTGATCCCCTCCCGATCACTCGAGAAGGGAAAGCAGAATTGGAGCAGAGTTCCTATCCTGATGGGATTTCTGGGAGCAGCTGTCCACAGCCCCACATTGCTGCCGGCCAGAGCTTCTTACCCTCTGCTTACCCTTCTTACCCTCCTCTCCACTGTTAATATACCTCCACAGGAAACGCACGTGGGGCCAGGCGTGGTGGGGCAGCCTGGAATCCCAACAACAAGAGGCTGAGGCAGGAGGGTTCCAAGTTCAAAGCCAGCCCCAGCAACTTAGCAAGGCCCTGTCTCAAAATGAAAAGTAGAAGGTCTGGGGACGTGGCTTGGTGGTTACGCGCTCCTGGGTTCCACCCCTAAAAGTACACAGATCGTGTGTGTGCGCACACACACACTACACAGAGCATATAATATTTGCTAAAAACCACTGTTTCTCTTTCTAATTGTAGTTTATATGCTACTTTAAAATTGCTCATGAAAATGTTAGAACAGGAACCAAAGGACAACTAGAAATTACATTTAATTTACCACTCACCATTTTGAATATTCAGGGCAACTACTCTCTCAAGTGCTTGAAGAAACTAAAATGAAATCATCCTGTTTTTGAGGCAGAAAAGGATCTCCGCTGACAGGGGTGGTGAGTGCTGGCAGAGCCTCTGAGAAAGTGGGAATTCTCAGTGAATTCTGCAGTGAAACGCCACCCTGTAGGGTTTACTTCCTAATGCTAACTGAATTTTCCACTTGCAGCCTAAAAGGTGAAAAAATGAAGTTCTTCATTGAAATCCAAGTCGAGGGCACTTTCTGTGTATAATTAAACATAGTAGGACGGGAATCTGCATTAATCCAGAGTGAGAAAGTCATCAATTTATTATGTGGTCTGATGGTAACTTAGTGCTTTGGTACAGCACTTTAATGATTTTTTTTTTGGTCTGTAACAACCACATTTATTAAACACATTAAACTTTAATTAGCTTTAGCAGACGTTATTCTTCTGAGGGTTTTGTCACTTTTAGTGGGGCCTGCCTCTGCAGCCTGCAGGATGACAGCCCCTCCAGCCTGCAGGGTACTGGCAGCCTTCTAGGGGCACGCCGAGCCACGTCACAGGACAGCTGCACAAACACTTAGCGTGGAGAACTCTAAGTTTTGTGTGTAGCACGTAAGACAAAGTCCAGAACAGGAAGACCATCTCCTAGCACAGCGCAGCGCACCTTCCTGGCCTAGCAACTCAGTCATGCCTGCGCAGGGCCCTGTCAGGGAGACAAGTTCTCATCACCCTTTGTTTGGGATTTTAACAGTTAATGAACCAAAGCCAGGCACAGGAGCGCGTGTCTGTATTCCCAGCGATTTGGAAGGCTGAGGCAGGGCAATCAAAACTTAAAGGCCAGCTTCAGCAACTTAGCAAGACCCAGCCTCAAAATAAAAAATAAGAGGGATGATAGGGATGATGGAGATGTGATTTGGCGGTCAAGTGCCGCTGGTTTAAATCCCCAGAATTTAAAAAAAA